ATCTATATGGATGATTGACAATTTCTTAAAAAAAAAAAACAAAAAAAAAACAAAAAAAAACAAAAAAAATAATGACCATAATACTTTTACATTAAACTGTTTACGTAAATAAAGCATTTCATTTTCTTTAGAGAAGAACTCTGCATTAATCTCTAACGACTTCAATACATCGCTTTCCTTAAAGAAAATCATAGAGGAAATACATTTTCGTCTTATTTATCTATTTTTTTTATTTACATTTTTTTTGTATGCTTCGATCTCTGATATTCTGGCCTGTATCATTCCTCTACTTAGGATAGTAATAATATTAAGCAGCTTGTTACACGCTGTTGTACGACTTTTACTCGTGCTCATAACGAATTTCCACTTTCGAGCCATTGTACATACAATTGTCGCATGAGCGAGGTTCCAGCGTTTGTATTCTTAATTTTTAGTTTTTAATCAGCCATATCGAGCCGGTCGAGGTCGAGTCGATATTATGGCTGCGTTCGGAAACGTTGCTCGGATGCATCCGTTGCTTCGGATTCATCATCTGTCCTTGTTTAACAGAGAGAGATGATGAAGATATCGGAGGCATCCGAGCGACAATTCTGAACGCAGCCTATGAATAGCGACTAATTTTGCGGAGAAGAAGAGTCGTTCAAAATGCGTCATTCAAATCACGTTGAGGTGAAGTCTAAACTCATTAATCAAACAAATATATTAATAGACGAGAGAAAACGAGAGTGAGAGAAAGAAAAAGAGAGAAAAAGAAAGAGATAAATGATGATCAAAGACTCCCTTATTGTTGTGTATAGCGAGCATGTTGCACTATATTTTGTAAAACTGTTTTCATAATCTCATACGGAAGAAACAGACGAGCGGCGATATCAGCCGTTTAACTAGTCGCCAAAAGCGACCAAGAGCGACTCGATACATCACGGGAATGTTATTAATATTACTGTATTTTACTTATAGTATACCTATTGTAATTTCACAAAGTATAGTATATTTTTTAATTATTGTATCATGTAATGTTATTAGTGAAATACGATATTTAGCGGAAAAATATATGTCAGCTGTATTCAACACTTGATGCTTCTTTTGCCTTGTTTATATTTATTATAGTATGTCTCTATTATTTATTTCTACATCGATGGAACATGTTAAAGCTTTTTCCTACTCATTGCAACGATCCTGGATTATGTCAAAAGCGAAAAAATATATAAAGAAAATTCTTGCAAAATACATTAGAATATAAATATTTTTTAATAAAACAGTATTGCTTTCTTAAAAAATATTTGTATTTTACTTTTTATTTAAAAAGGTTTATATTTTAGCAGTTTGCAATCGATAGATTTGTAAAATATATTTGTAAAATATTCCCTCTTATTAAGATCAAAGCCATTGGAAGTTCCTCTTATCTGCATTCTTAAAAATAAAAAGACAGTGTTTTCAATGGCCTTGACATTGATTAATTATTTATCATGACCGTGAACAATATTGAAGAGATTTTAGCCGACGATAAAATTCTGTAGGTGGTATTCCAAACAATGCGAAGTCGACTATAAGTAGACTGACGAAGTCAAGAGTTGATTTTTTAGTCAAATCTGAATGTCGACAAATACAGGGTGGAGCGTGGGAACTTCCTTTTTTGAAAATGACATAAAAAACTGCATATGCTTAAAAATTTTTTATTGTTACCATTTTCCTGTCACATATAGTGGGAGATTTTGCTTTACACTGTTTTGAAAATAAGATCTTGTAGGTGATGCCCTCCATTGTCAATACACTGATTCAGTCGAATTCGGAAGTTTTGGTCGACTCTTTCGAGCATGTCGACCGGTATATTGGCAGTTTCGGCTCGGATGCGGTTCTTCAGGTCCTCCAGGGTCCGTGGACGATCGT